ATATCGAGATGTCACGAACCATCGTCGCCTGTGACCAAGGCCAATTTGGTCGGGAAAAGCCCCAATTTTGCTAAAACCCGTCGGAATCCTAAAATGGGTGCACTGAAATTCACCGTCGACGGCGCTCCGCTACCCCTATAGCTAATTGGGCTTTGTTCTAGGGCTCAAGAGAGGTCTAAAGGTGGTGGAGATCGACGAGATTCATTTCAAAAATGGTGGATCTTGCCATGGGACTCACGGGCTACCGTCGATGTTCACCATGAAATTAGGACAATTTGCATTGTTTCGTGAAAGTACCATGAAGAAGAAGAGATGATGGTTGCAGTGTGTGGGGTATCCTAATTCACCGGAGGAATGGAGTAAAACAATCAGAAAATCACACAGGGAGGCCGGGTTTTGAAAAGGATCGCATGGGTCGAAGGGGAACCCGGACAGTTCCTCTCCTTCTCTACTTCCTCCTTTCCCTTCCTTCCCCTCTCTGATTCATCCCTCACTTCTCTCTTTTTTCTGATTGGCCAGCAACCCTTTCCTTCGATTAGGCAGCAGCCCCTTCCTTCTCTTCCATTTTTCCTTCTCCCTGAATCCCTATTCTTTTCTTTCATTACTCTTAAATAACCTTATATAATAATATAATTTGAATGCAAAGATATAAAGAAAGATATAAAATAGTAATATACCCACCTTGGATCGCTATAGAAATATTTCGTACGTCTCACTAAACGTTGGTCCACGAAAGTCAATACCCTCGCCTCTAAGGCCATTTTCGTAAAATCACGCTTTTAAAATTTGTAAAAACATAGAATTAGGGACGGGTCGTCACAGTAGGCGTGGGTTGGTTTAGGTCGATTTTAGGCCAAAATCGAAACCAAACCAATTGACTTAGTTGGGCCAAAATTGTAAACCAAAATCGATCAAGTTGGGTCTAAAAACAAATCAAGTCAGTTAACCGATAGTGATGGGTTGGTTTGGATCGGTTCTCGGTTTGTGTGAAGACGTAAATACATAACAAATTTATCTCCCAAAAGCTACATAATGTAGCACCAATATGAGTGATTGCTCAAATGAAAGCACAAATGAAGCAGCCCAACGAAAGCACCAAAGCAACAAAGCTACTTTCTCCAAATGGTCCCCCTGTTCTTCTCCAAATGGACTCAAATTAATCAGGTTTAGCTTTCATGTGGTGGAAACATGGTAACTTGTAAATAACTAACCATTTATATTCTTACACGTATTAATTATGATTAAAAAATAAAATTTAATATACGTGGGTTGGTTCGGTTAACCGCACCATAAAAATTTTGGGAACCGATTACCAAACCAATTAAGGTCGATGCAGTTCAGTTTAACCACTAAAAATTAAAAAATAAGAATTAAAAATAAATAAAAACCAAAAACCAAGCTGCTGGTGTAGTTCAGGCGGTTTAATTGGTTTTTTTTAAAGAATAAATTGTAGTAATGGTCCATCAACTTTAATCAAATTTGAGCAATGGTCCCTAAACTAAAAATCAATTCCATCGGTCCCTTAACTCATTAAAATGTGTATCTATGGTCATTTTCGTCAACTTCATTAGAATTTTGTCAAAATAAGTTATGTTGGAAGGACCATTGCTACAATTGGGGTCCCTCAACTCATCAAAACGTGTAACTATGGTCATTTTCGTCAACCTCGTCAGAATTTTGTCAAAATGAGTTATGTTAGAATGACCATTGCTACAACTGGGGTCCCTAAACTCATCAAAATGTGTAGCTATGGTCTTTTTCGTCAACTTCATCAGAATTTTGTCAAAATGAGTTATGTTGGAATGACCATTGCTACAATTGAGTTAAAGTTGAGGGATCATTGCTCCAAATGGGTCAAAGTTGATGGACTATTTCTCCAGTTGGATTAAAGTTGAGGGGTCAATGGTAATAGATTTTTAATTGAGGGACTTTAGTTGCACATTTTGATGAGTTGAAGGGCCAGTAGTAATGGATTTTTAGTTGGGACCATTACTCCAATTGAGTTAAAGTTAAGCGACCATTGCTACAATTTACTCTTTTTTAAATGCCCAACCCTAGCTGGAATCAGTGTTTGAAATTTCCATAAAAACATCGGAAAAATCAGAGAAATATATGGAAATGGAGGGTGAAGCCCGTATCAAAGGAACTCTTAAATTTCTAAAATCAACAAGTTTCGTTGATTCAGACATATCGGTTGAACATCGACAAATTGCCATCTGCCGTTCCCTATAGTTTCATTTTAATTTTCACATTTTTTTAGTAAACCTCAAAAATTTCTATCGAAGGCAACCAATATCAATATGTCAATTGATATTTCCACAAATTTGCATATCTATATTTCAAACAATATCAATATTTTAAACACTGGCTGAAACTCATAAATTGCATATAAAAAGATTGACTAGATAAACATTTTTGAAATTTGCATTTGAAAGAGTACACGGTATTATTTTTAGAGTGTTTTTGGCAATAATTCTTAGTGGACAACAGTATATGTGAGGGAATAAATCAATTATAACCTTAAAATGATCGTTTTTTTTTTTTGGTGAATAGAGGGGTGAAGACACCCGAGATGAACTAATACATAGCCTTAATAACAATAGAGCAGCCCATAGGGGCACCTACCAGATCATCTGTTAGATGTTGCATAAGCCACTGGGGAGGAAAATGAAAAGAATACAACCCAAGGTCCAAATTGTAGCTCCATTTGGCTAGTTGATTTGCAACATTGTTCACTTCCCTGAAAATATGTTTTAGCTCAAAATACTCAATTCTTCTTATCAAATCCCTACAACTTTTCAAAAGGGTCGTAAGGGGGTGAAAGGTATCTTGCACTGCCTGGTTCAATAGTAATACAGCAGAGGAAGTGTCCATCTCGATGAATAACCTTGATATGCCTTTTTTCAATAGCAAGTTGAAGTTCGAAATACAAACCCCAAACTTCAGCTTCTATAATCTGCCCTTACCCTAGATTAATAGAAAAACCTCTCAAGCAAACGCCATTGTGGTCACGGAGAATTCCTCCAACATCGATGTTGCTTGAAACCATTTTACTAGAGCCATCCACATTCAACTTGTGCCAACCAAAAATAGGAGGCACCCACTTCAACATAACATGCATCCGAGAAGGTGGTTTATCAATTTTTAGAAGGAAATCGACATAAAAAATTTGGTGGGTCCTCAATTTCCAGATATACCAGCAAGCAAAGACAAATAAATAATACCATGCTATCTTGTTAGACCACGTTACCTTGGACGTCACATTAGCCATCAACCAGGCTTTCAAGTCCAAATTAAAAGTATTGCGCATTTGAGAAGGAATCCATAAAATATCTTAAGAATATGTCAAATGCATTCAGCTCTACAACATTCCCTTATAATATGCGTGATGGTCTCCAAAGGCCAAGAGCAAGCGTTGCAAGAGGAATCTACAGTTAAGTTTCTTTTGATTCTTTGCTCATTAGTAAATAATTTACCTTGACCAATGAGCCAGAGGAAGAATCTATGTTTGGGAGGGAATTTTGGGAGTCCAAATCCTGCCAATAAAAAACAGATCGTTCGTTTAAAGTAGGAGTGGTTATTTTGGTGAAGATATTATTAGGAGGAAATGATATTGCAAATGTACGTTTGATTGATTCAAAAATGCAAGACGTGTTACATACATTATTAAATGATCATTTTAAAAAGTCATCACATACCAAATTGGTGTCGGCAATCACCAGATTGAGTAACAAGGCATCAAAATTACCAAATTCCTAATAGTTTGATTTTTTTTTTTTTTTTGGGAGAAAGGGAAATATATTACCCACAAAGAAACAAAACACAAGAAGGGTCCAAATACACACAAAGAACAAAATAAAAAAATGGACCCTAAAACACACAAACAAAGCCCAAAGAAAGCCTTGGGACCCATCACAAAGACATCACACAACAAAAGAAACCCTAAATCACAGCTACTGTAGCTGCTCCTCCTGCCGTCGACACTTCCCAACAATTCGAAGCCATCTCTGCCACAAGGACCTACCATCACACCATCTCGAGTCCCAGAGTTGAGGAAGAAAACAGTCGCTCCATCCTACACAAACCACCAAAACGATGGCCACCATAGAACAAAGGAAGCTTGCGAGAAAAGAGATCCCACAAGCGACAGCGCCAACAAGGGCGAACAATGGGAAGAACCAACAAGGGTCAACAAAGGTGGTGGTGCGAACACCGAAGCCAAAACTCTACACACCTTCCCATGGAACAACGATAAATCATGGTGAAAACTGGTGGAATCGAAATTAGGATTGGTGGAAAGAAAATGGAGCCAAGTGATGATGTTGGTATAGGGGAAATGACCGAATGAGATGGATGAAACGGGTGAACCAGATTTGAGGCTCAGGATGATGAAAACAGAGTCAAACAAAGTACCATGAAGATGAGATTGTGGGAAGATCTAGAAGGAAACGGGGCTGGGGTTATTACAAAATACCGCCGGAGAAAGAAAAAGAACAAGATAAAGGGAAATCAAGGGACTGCCACCGGTCTTGCCATGGCAAGAGTCAGCGGCGACGCAGAAAATCGAACACGGAGTCACTTACAAAGTCAGTGAGAAAGGCTCTCACTAGAGAGAAGTTAGACAAAGCACAGTCTGAATAATTTACCACTCACTTTCATGATTTTTTGATAGTTTAACTCCATCCATAAAACTAGACACATCTTCAAATATTGGTAAAAAAAAAAAGGAAAGGATAATAAAACTTGAATTATATTAATGAATTACTGTAATATATGACAATTTAAGAAAAGAAATTGGAATTAAAATTAAAAAAGGAAAAGTGAGAAGTGGAAGAATAAAACTACGGTTATATGTGGGTGAGAAAGTTTTAAAAAATGCAAAAACTAGTTCATGTAAAATTACTTTTATGCCCATAATTTTGTTCTCTAATATTTTCGTTCTGTTATGTATGAAAAGGTGTAATAGTAATTTCATAGTTTTTGCTTGACACATGAAATTCTATTAATATGTAATTTAGATGTTATATTACTATTTAAAACGAAGCAAAAAAAAATAAATAAACAAATAACAAGCTTATTTTATAGCTAAGAGAGACTATCAACAAGCAATTGTGCTAATAATCCCTAATATAATCTCTAGAGTATTGCACAAATTTTTGATCCCAAAACAGGTTCGTGCCGATGACTCGATAACTCTTGTGAAGCTCCAAATTCCGGCGACCACCGGAATTATCATCGGTCTCGTGAGGCTCAAAAACAAGAACTAGGACAACCTTCTCAAAGCCTGTTTATCTGCACCCCTTCAACAATTAAGATGTCGGACTTGAGAAGCTTTTGGCACTAGAGGAAGATTTTACATTTTCTGTATCCTTCTTCTCCGGCAGGACACAAAAGTCGAGAGCGTGACTCTCCACCTTCAAAAAAAAAACTCCCACGATGATCAGCTGATTCCGTTACAATGATAAGAAAACAAACTGCTCAATGAACTGATTGAAAACCCTACACCAAAAAAATTACGAAAAAAAAAAACGGAGCATACCAATTCACGAGGAAATCCTTGCCCCAACTTCAAGTATGGATAGTACTTCATCTTCACAGAATCCAACTTCTTCTTCAGAGAATTGTTCCAGTGATTTTTTATGGCATTGTCTGTCCTGTTCACCATGCAAGCATAGATATATCAAAACTGTTGCAGGTGCACGAGAGTAAAAGGAAGAAAGCCCTGGCACACCAGTAGTAGCAATGCAAAATATCGGCATACCTTCCAGGCAAGAATCTCGTTATCTCTGCCCATTGGTTCCCGTAAATTTGATGAGCACGAATCAGAGCAAACTCCTCGGCCTGTGTCCATGCGTCTTTCTTTATGGCAGGATTAAGATGATTATGCCACCTAAAAGTAGTTCAAACACGGTAAGAAAAAGAAGGAAATACTAGATCAGGATTGTACTAATATAGTCATCCACAAAAGATCCTGTTATCATACCTTTCCCGACACTGCTTACCAATACGTCCAGGTAAATGCTGTGCAATACTGCACCAATCTTTTGGGCCATATTTTTCCACCCACTCAATAATAATATCATCCTCCTAATCAATTGTGGAGAAACAAATAGAAAGGAAACATTTCATATAAAAAGAAAAATGTGTTGAACCGACAAAAAAAATCTCAAAAAACAAAATTAGGCAAGGGAATGAACACAAAAATCAGATGCAAGTAGTGCAATACCTCTTTAGACCATGGACCTTTGACCATTCTTGGATTCAAGACTTTCTGCCATCTATGTAGGCATTGCGTATCAGTCCGACCATTGAAACACTCCGCTACAAATGGCCAAGTATGCAATTAAACAATGCGCTGAAAGTATAAAGATTAAAATGTAGCATCAACTGAGATAAAAATGAACAGTCTCATGACATGCCAATAAAGATGGACACATCAGTAACAGAATTATACCTATTTTTTTCCAATTCTTTCCTTTAAAACGCTCAACTGCCCTCCGCAAGATCTCATCCTGAATTCACAAAGAATAAATGATGCACGCCACATATTCCATAAAGAAAGAGGGATAACGAACGAATGAGAAATATTTATATAACTAAGAAAATGTATTAAAACAAAAATGCAGTGAATTCAACAGCAACTTTTCACATCAGGTGTTTATATGCACCAAACCATAAACTTAAGCACCTTGTATGATAGTGTGTTGTATTAAAGAGAATTTACCTCTTCAGGTGTCCACTGTCCTTTCGTAGAACGCCTTATAGGCCCGCTAGTCCTCCTACAAAAGAGTTGCTTAAATATTAGACAAAAATTGAGTGGTAAAACTAATTCTCGGTTAATGAAAATTTTACCATAATAAAACAGAAGGAAAACGAGAGAGAGATTCCTAAACATGGAAGATATTGAATTAACAAGGGCCAACCGCTAAGAACCAATGAACATATGCACTTCAGTTAGCAGTTTCGAGAACGCACTGAACAGATCCTTGTTGTTCATTATCCTTCTTCGATTTAATTGAAGATGATCCAGTAAGTTGACAGCAATAACCACGATCTTAATTATTATTATTAAGCTGTTCAATGAAGCAAATTTTCAATAGAATTGAATTACCCATGAAGAACTTGAACATTCTGAATACTGTCACAGAGCTCTTCTGAAGGAGTAGAATTCAAGTCAAGCTGCATAACCGGATTCCTACACAACGACACCCTCCAGTATTTGGACTCGTAAGCATTATAATCACCCAAAGCAATAGTAGGACCAACCTTGTTAAACACAAGACCTGCAACCTGCAAAAACACAAGAAATTACGATACATTAAGCACAAAATCAACGACGAAAACATATTAAGAAATGAATAATTGTTAATCCAAACTCAATTGTGGTTTCAGGCAAGTTAATTCCAATCTTAATCAAAGTTGGCATACAAAAACAAAACATTCACCAAATTCTATCCACTACAACTTCAAAAAATGAGTCCTCGATTTCAAACTGAAAAGGGGGATTGATTAAATTTGTAAATTGATTGTATCAAACTCAAATTTAGCTGAAAATCAATGAAATTTTTTGGTCAAAACCCAGGAGATTAAGTCCTCACATACTTAGAAATTATCAAGCAATTAAATTCAAACAAACCCAATACACACACAAAGGTTCAATTTCTGAACCGGGAAAGCCTCAATTAAGCAATTCAATCAAAATAAGAAAATTTCAAATTTAGTGAAATGAAAACCCTAAAGCACTGACCCAACTGAGCTTGGAAGAGCGAAGAACAGAGATTTCACGGAGACGAAGAATCGACGAAGCGATTGCAACAGAGCAAATTTGAAGATCGAAACGAAGAAATGGAAGATTTGAAAAGAGATCTGCAGAACAGTGCAGAGAGAGAGAGACAGGTCCGTATTCAAACATGAGGTGGGGATAGATCGAACGGTGGGGTTTAAAGGTCGAACAGGTTTGATAGAACCAGCGGTGCAGATTTAAAGGTCGAGCAAGTTTAAATGTATGAATGGATGCCGGACTTTGTAATAACGAAAAACCAACGGTGCAGATTTAAATGTCGAGCAGGTTTACATTAAAAAAATTAGTCTTGATACTATTTATTTTATCTTTTATTTTGTCGTTATCGTTAAAACTCAAAGTTTTTAAATTTATTTTTACAGTCCAGAAACAGTGATCTGTCGTTATTATTGAATAACATGTAGATCTCAAATTTATTTTCTAAAAAAACAAACAATGAACTCCACTAACAAAGAAAAATTGAAAAAAGTACCTCGAATACTTTATAAATAATAACGATGATCACGTTTCAACGAAATAATAAAAAATATAAATTAAATAGCATGAGGATCTATATTTTTGTTTCAATGAAAAAGAAGAAGGTCTACAAAACAACAATGAACTCCATTAACGACGAAAATCTGGAACTCAACCTAAAAAAGTTAGGGGTAAAATCGATAAATCATAATTTATTATAGTTAGGCCATTTTTAGTTGGACTACTTTAATATGAGTCTTGTACTAATCATTAAACAAAACTTATAACATGGTTTTTTTATTAAAACTAAAATTTTTCAAGTTATTTTCATTAGTTTTCCTTTTAATAATCTGCATTAAATTCATTTAATTACAAAAAGAGATAAGATTTCCTCCATATTCAAACGCCCTAACATGAATCTGAATTGATTGTCTGAGACTCATGTCTTTTGCCTTAGTCTATGCAATAGCGGAGCCAGGAATTATTTGGTGGGTGGGCTAAACTAAAATTATTACTAGGAGATCAAATGGTTAAATTTTTTTGTTACTTACATAAAGTTACACAATGACAAACTTGAAAGCAATAATTTAAAGTAAGAAATTTAGAATAAAGCAATGTTTCAACTAGATTTAACAAAGAAAACATTTGAAGTTGCAACTTGTACTAGAAAGAAACATACATCATCAATCTTGTCATAACAACTTAACAAATAAAAGAAAAAGTACCTATTCAAGTTGTGCTCTTCGATCCTTAATGGAATTGAAATCCTTGGTTATTTCTTCTTAATCAATCTTTTCGGCAAGCTCTTTTTCAATGTACACAACCATTGAATCTGCTAGAAATTCACTTTCCATCTTGTTGCGACGTCTTGTTTTAATAAGATTCATTGCTGAAAAAGCTCGTTCAGTAGTTGCTGTAGAAACAGGAAGAGTTAATACAAGTCGAATTAACCTATCAATCAAATAGTACCTTTCAGACCTCTTTGTTTCAACAAATCCCCGACATAATTCCGAAGTAGTAGACATTTTTTGAAAGACAGGATGATGCGGTACGTCTGATTCATAGATTTTCAACTCACATCTCAACGTATGTAGCTCTTTTTCTGTGAAATCCATAGAATAAAATTTCTTTGCAAGCTTGCAAATGTGATCAATGTTGAACGCCTTAAAAGCTTCTCTTGGTTCTAAAGCTGAACGGAGAATAAGAAGTTCCATTGCCTCCTCACTAAACCTCCTATTTATCTCTGCCAACTGAAAATCTATTGCATTATTGAAGATATCAATGTGATAATGATGCTCAAATGTAATATGATATGTTTGCTGACAAGAACGGCCAGTTCCTACTTTGTATTGAGCATTCATATCGAGCATATCAACGTCATGTTTTTTGCAGAATAAACTCACTTTATCAATAAAGGTAGCCCAACCATCCAATCGCAACTTCTGGAAGACATCTTTTGTAGTAGTGACTAGATTCATAGCATTCAAAATGTCTTGTGACTTATTTTGGAGTTCATGACAAAGGATATCAGTGATTCCCATGATCTCATGCAATAGATGCAAGATGAAAGTAAATTCAAAAGATCTGATTGCATTATAAGCACCAGTAGCTTCCCCACACAAAGAGTTTGTAGCAGATCTATCATTCTTTATGTTCTCAAATACTGTACAAGACGCGTCGTACATATGTATCAAGTCACACACTGAATCATAATGAGAACCCCAACGAGTAGCTCCAAGTCGATGTATAGTACCGATTTGATTAGCTCCTCTTCCCGTCTCAAGTTCACCAGCACCCACCAACTCTTCAATGTTCACTGTGTGTGCAACCTGCAGCTGAGTATGACGCTTTGGAGAAGTAGTAATAACATTTACAATTGAACCTAATGTTGAAAAGAATAACCAGATAACAGCTACTTCTTTTGATGCTGCAACTAATGCCAATTGCAATTGATGAGCAAAACAATGCACGTAATAAGCAGATGAACACTCTTTAATAAATAAAGATTGTAGCCCATTCCACTGACCTCGCATATTACTCGTACCATCGTAGCTTTGACCTCGTAACTTGTTTATAGGCAACTCATGGAAAGCAAAGACTTTTTTTATCTCCCTGTTAAGTGTTGTTGCAGTAGTGTCTTCAACCCACACAATATCTAAAAACCGTTCTCGTAGAAAATCATCATTATCAACAAATCTTAAAATAATGGCCATTTGCTCTCTATGAGCAATATCATGTGCTTCATCAACAAGAATACAAAAAACACCATCCCCGACTTCTTCACGATTTTTTCTTCGTACTATGTTGGCGAGAATGTTCAAAACCTCATTTTGGATCATGGGTGAGGAATATTTGGCATTTTTTGGTGCATTTTCTAAAGCAACTGCAGCCACCTTATCATTAAACTTGGCTGTATGCTTTACCAATTCAATAAAATTCCCACGATTTTCGAACCCATTGATTCATCATGTCCTCTAAAAGGGCATGCTTGAAATGTAAGCCATCGAACACACTCAATTGTAACCTTGAGTCGCAACCAATTCTTCAAAATTTCTTCTTTTGATTGTCAATTAATAACCTTGTCAACATGCTGAGATGGATTCATCAATTCCTCCACACGTGAAACACAAGTATTATGTAATGAAGATGGACCTCCAATATGAGAAAGAAATATACAATTCTTTCCGTCGTTAACTCTTTTCCAATTGTTAAACCCATCAACAGTTAGTGTCGGACGACTTACTGGACCAGTCCCAAAAAGAAAGCATGGGAAACAATATACTCTATCTGTTGTCGGAGAATATTCTAACCATGGAAATTGTGAAAACCAAGAATACTGAAATTGACGATATTGTGATCCAAACCGAGACCTAGGATACTCAAGAAATTTCGGTTGGTATGACCCAGCTTTGATATAAGCACGTCGAACTTCATCTTGTTGATTAATAGGATGCTCATGTATTTGAATCCGTTTCCCCGGGTCTCGTTCCAATTCCAAAGAAGCATCATCAAAAACTTTTTCTTGAGGTTCAATTATATTAGATGTTTGGTGAGAATCATAAGGTTGCTCAGTTGATATTGGTGCGTTATCATTAGATGCAGAAGGTATATCACTCTCTAATTTATCACCATCATCTTTTTTTTTGAAAAATGAATCAATAGTTCTTAATCTCTTCATTGAAGGTTAACCTAACAAATTGAACAACAATAATGCAAGTTTATATAATAAATTATATTTCTAAGAAATCTATTAGACTATCAAGAAAAAAAAATTAAACTTGAAATCGAAATTTTAAAGTACGAATTCTTAAAATTAAAGCAATAAACAAATAAAATCATCAAGACATAAGAATAAAGTGGTTAAAAACTTACCTGATAAGAAAAATCAATCAGTTTTCTCACTTGTAATGTATGCTTGGTTTCTGTGATTCTGTTTCTGTGAATTGCAGTGTAGAGACGACACAGATGGGACGAAAGCTTTTCTAAAAATGACAGAAACCCTAAAAGTTGAAATATAATAATAAATTAGTACAACTCCTAGGAAACCTAAAATAATAAAATAATAAATGTACTTTTTAAAACCGGTTGGCTATCCTAGAAAACCTAATCTAATCACTATACTACTCCCTAGGACCCTAGAAACTAATAAAATAAAATGACTTAATGGGATGTGTGTGTCAGTATGCGTGTGCAATTTGAAATTTAATAATAATAAATTTTGATATTGATTAAAGTAAATAATTTATTTAATATTTATTAACTCTTTTTTTAAAAGTAGTCCTTTTATTCATAACTTTTACTTATTGGGTGGGCTTTAACAATTAAAAATAATAAAATAATCTAAATTATCAGTATTTTTAACTTTAAACAACTAAGGCCATCTCCAACCGAAGGGTCTAGAGGGCCGAAAATAGCCCTAAAACCGTCTCCAACCGAGGGCTCGAGAATCTAGGAGGGCCCCACGGAATTTCAAAGGGCCAAAGGGCTTTTTTTTTATAGTTTTGTTATTCCTGTCGGTTATAACCGACAGGAATACATGCTATTATTTAATATACTAAATAATGGTGTATTCCTGTCGGTTATAACCGACAGGATTTTTAAAAAAAAAATTCAAATGAAACGGCTACTAGCTGTTGCATTTGATTTGATTTTTTTTTTACATTATTATTATTATTTTTTATTTACAAAATTTTTCATATAACTTCTATTTTTTCCTATAACTTCTATTTCACAAAATTTGGTTCATATTTTTTTTTTAAATTCCATTTTTTTCCTATAACTTCTATTTCACAAAATTTGTTTCATATTTTTTTTTTCCTATAACTTCTATTTCACAAAATTTATTTCATATTTTTTTTAAATTCCATTTTTTTCCTATAACTTCTATTTCACAAAATTTATTTCATATTGTTTTTTAAATTCCATTTTTTTCCTATAACTTCTATTGCACAAAATTTGTTTCATATTTTTTTTTAAATTCCATTTTTTTTCCTATAACTTCTATTTGACAAAATTTGTTTCATATTTTTTTTAAATTCTATTTTTTTCCTATAACTTCCTAAGCCATTATACAACATTAAATTAAATTAAGTAACATGAAACAACATTAAACAATATGAAACAACATTAAATAACATTAACCAGCATAAAAATTATACAACATGAAACTTAAACAACATTTTAGTTGTAGTTTTTAAATAATAAATTATGTTTGGCCCTATGGCCCTTTGGCCCTCGGTTGGAGACGGTTTTTTGTGACAGGGCTAAAACGAGCCCTCTGGCCCTTTGGCCCTCGGTTGGAGACGGAGGCAAATATGGCCATGTACTGTTCATTAAAATATTAATATCTTGGAGAATCTTGGAGGGCCAGAGGGCTAAAACGAGCCCTCTGGCCAGCCCTCGGTTAGAGATGGCCTAAAACTCTCCCTATGCTAGAGTCCACCCTAGCCTTGTTAGTGGCTCCGCCGTTGAGTCTATGCTCAATTACTCTCTTTCAAAACTCCATTGTATGATTCATTAACTTAGGGTTGGTTTGAGATTGTGGTGCTTTAAAAAAAAAAAACTTATTATATAATCTAGAACATTAAATGTATTTGGTAAAACAAAACCAAAAAATAATAAAAAATAAAAATTTAACCACTATCAATGAAAATAGAAAAGCATAGAAAAATAGAAGCAGAACCTACCATGGTTTTTTTTTTTTCAAAGCATAGTAGTCAATGCTTATTTATTGAACTTTTTAAATGACAAGTATGCTCCCACATGTTTTACAAAATTACAATCTTTACCACTACATTATTAACTTTGACAATTATTATACTATATTAAATACTATATCATTTTTAGTTATTTAACATATTCAAAGCAATTTATTTAAAAGTTCATCAAACACTCCGACATTGTTTTTTTTTTTTTAATTAAAAGTACTTTTACAAAAAATATGTTTACCAAATACTTAACAACTTTATTTTACAACTGTTTATTCTCATAGTAGAATCAATTTTTTTTTTTAAAACATCACAATACCAAATTAGCCCTTAATACCCTTATAATCCTTGAATAACTTTTAATTTGGCTTGAATATTTCTTATGAACCCAAAATTTGATATGAATGCATATAAATTATAAGGAAAACTAATGAAAAATGCTTGAAAACTTTAAATTTTAACGATAAAGACAAAATAAAGAGTAAAGTGAATAGTACTAGGTTTGATTTTTTTGGTGTAAAAATGTGATTTTTCGTTAAAGTAAACAGTACCGCAGGCTTTTCGTTAAAACTCCCTAAATTATAACATGGGGAAGGTCGAAAACAAAACTCAAAAATCCTTTAGGACCAATTTGGTACTCTACGTGATACCCAACAGGCCCTAATTTTTTTTTAATAATTCACCAGAGTCACTAATAAGATTTTCTGAGAATTTCAAGGCCATCCATAAAACTAGCCAGACCTTCAAATATAGGTAATTATTAGTTTATAGAGAAATCAAGAAAGGTTAGAGGAAAATAAACTATAAAATTATATTATTCGTGTTACACGGACAAGTACTAGAACAACAATATTACTGTTTGAAACGAAGCAAAAATTACCAAGCTTTTTTATAGCTAAGAGAGACCAGCCTCTGTCGAAAACGTATTGCAGAATATTGATCCGAAAACATGATCGAGGGGATGGCTCTCGTGTAGATCAAAATTTGCGGACTTTACTGGGGCGACCACCGGATTTATCATTGTCTCTTGAGCGGCCTTTCCACCCACCTCGATGGTGCTTGCCTCCCCTGGTAAGCACAAACATAAATCGCAAAACATAAGAAATGGGAACTCATGATCCGGGGAGAAAACTATGGCGCTGATAGGGGTGTGTAGAATTTAAAACTAACCTTCCTCCACGGTGGTTCTTACTATCGCGGAATTTTTCTTGGTTGCCACGGAAGAGGCTCCAGTACTCCTTTTCCGCCTCACCTGAAAGATTGGCAAGCAGAACAACATTCAATACAAGAGGAGGAAACTTGTATTCATGACGCATCAAGCTCCAGGATATAACCACTACAAATGAAATAAAGGTGAAAGTTGCTGCTTACCACTGACTGGTTCCAAAGTAGCGATGAAATTCTTCACAGCCAGACCTCCTTGCTCGGTAAAGACTGCAGCTGCACGTGCTTTCTGAGCTGCTTCAGGTTCTTCAAACCGAATGTATCCTGATTCTTCTCCAATCTTGAAATCAATGTACTTCACATGACAGAAACGGGTGTGAAAATGTCAGAACAAATCACCAGAATACAATCAACCATGATGAAGGCAAATAATCTACCTACAAATTGTAAAAGAGTACTGTAATTAATAACGCACTGCATAGAGAAATCCAAGCCATAAAGTATGAGAATAATTGTGATACCTTTACGGTGCCAAACTTTTCAAAGACAGCCTTCAAATCCTCACGCAAAACAACATCCATGTTATCTTTGTATGCGGCAGCATTCAATCTTTCTTCCTTCTCTCCACCCTTTGGAACGGAACCTTCTGAAGACTTTTCCCCATCTCCAGTTTCCTTCACCTCATCCAAACTATTTTTCTCATCAGAATTTTCCTTATCCTTAGCATCCTCTCCAGAAACTTCTACATCTTCATTAGCTACTTTAACATCTTCTGACGCCTTATTTTCTGTTTCTTCACTAGTACCATTTGTACTACCATTAGCATTGTCAGGCGTACCACTAACCACTGCAGGACCTTTGCCGGACAAGCTCTTTAACGTGAATGCAACAATCAAGCCTTTAGGGTAGCTGTAACATCATAAGAGAATTTAATCAGGTTAAACACCCAAAGAAGAAAAATATGGAAATCAAATAAGAGTATCCACTTACTCAGCTTCAGCTTTCGGGTTATTCTTGCCCTTTGTACTTGTAACAGGTCGAGCCTCATATTCCTTTACCTCTCTTTCTCTGTCGGCATCAAAATCCCTCCTGAATCACACATACTCTATTAGAACATGCAGATATACAAACAAGGAATCGTAAGAACAAAAATTACAGAATCATAACAAATACAAAAAAAATTATTTGTTAAGCTGCATTTCGTATCAAACGAAAACAAGTTGACAGAGGAGAAAATTACATTATAAAAGAACCAGATTTGTTTTATTTCAATTACCTGCCAATGCCATTTTTTATTGTCATAACCTAATTAAACAAAATTGAAAAAAAAAAAAAAATACAAATTTTCTGTATGACAAAGGTATTCAAGAAGTGAAACTTACTTCGGCTTCAGTTCTAACTTAACACCTGCACATTCCAAAGATTGCTCCAAAATCTTATTGGCTTCTTCCTCAGTTGAAAACTCAACCAAAGCAGTGCCACAGAGTAGCTTTTTGTCGGCAACATGGCGAGGCAGCCTCACGCTGTTAACCTGAAGCAATTGAGAACAAATTCTTACAAATGCAACATTAATAGAAAGCGCAAATCTTTTTACAAAATACTGAAATACGAAAAGATAGTAAGCAACAGTAATTCAATGCCACTTAATGATGGTGCAGCAACCAATACCTTGGCAAATTGTCTAAAAAAAGTTTCGACATCTTCAAGCTTCACATCAAACGCAAAAGGCGAAGCAGCTACTGTTCTTATGTCAACCTGCTCTATCACCTCCTCCGGCTTCAGCATTTCATTAGCCCTACCAACCTTTGTCCCTAAAACACATAAAAACACATAATACGATTTATTCGTCATCGAACAGAAACAAATTTTGTTAACATAAAGCAGCATTTCAGTTAAAAATTTACTCTCCTACTTGCATTCTAGTGATTACGAACAGGGAGCTCACCGTCTTCCGAAAGTTTTAGAGTGGCAGATAGTCGAAGCGTTTCGGCAACGGCCTTTATGGTAGCTTCGGGGACACTGTCCGGCTTCACATCCCCCAAACTGAGATGATTTCTCATCCGACTAAACGAGCATATCAGAGCCAAGCTAACCACTAACGGTCAAATTCAAGGTCAATTCAAAACCCAGAAATCCAAACCTTAAACAAAAATTACAAAAAATTAATTTACTTAAGACTTGAAAAACATAAATTTGATAAAGGATACGTCCATCTTCGCTTTCGCCAATCGTTTTACTGAGAAAATCGTCCCTCGGAAGATTGCTGTCGCTGAAGTAAAACTCGACCTGAAAATTACAAAAAAAAATAACGTTCTGAAATTTGATAAACTCGAATAAAATCGATCAAAATTTGGGAGCGTTTGAACACCGAACCTGGCGGATCACTTTCTTCGAGGTTTCTTCGTCCAAAGAAGGCGTCGCCATTGTTAAGAGGAGAGAAAAAGAGAGAATGACTGTGAAACTGTGGTTTCGCTCCCGAACAGCGAGAGAGGGATTCTAGGGTTTTGGAGGGGGATACTTTCAGCGTCGTTTGGGCTTCTTCAGTTTGTTTTTCGGTTTAAGTAGTTTTTAAGTGGGCTTTACTTATGGCTTGTTTGTCGCCCAGTTCTCTGCTCCGAGATGCTCCAGTTTTCTGCCACGTAAGCATATAGGAGAGTTGGGACCCACCAGGGTCAAAGGCTGGAGAGAGAGATGGGCATCTAATGCCCTGCTGTACTGCAGTTAAGCTTTAGATTCTGCTCCGATCAAATGCTTGAAGATCACACGTGAGTACGTGAGGTGACGAACACCGTGCTAAATGTTCAGCACGTCCTCGCATTAACCTCTCCCACGTTAAAATCTTCCTTTTTTCTGGCGTATTAATCTCTCACACGTTAAAATCTTCCTTTTTTTTTTTTGGGCTTTTATCTTAAAATAGTCTTGAAATTGGTATAATCTTTCTCTTTGGTCCATGACAATGAATATCGATAAAAGTTAGTTCAAAATTTAAATGATGCATGTATTTGAATTTTGAATGCTGGACCGCCAGCACGATAGTTGTGACAAAATTCATCTATCTATAAATACGTTTGAGTTCACGCAGCAAGAACAGAGCAACCTTCCCTCTCCCATAGTCCACATTTGTACATGGTTGTAACTTGTAAGTCGATGCCGACTACATTTCTATGCTATGCAGGACTAAAGTTTCATTGGATTTGAACCCTAAACGCATTCAACCCGAATCTGTTGGGAAATTTGCTTCAACATTATAAGCACTTGGTCTTTTTCTTACTCACCTAATCAGACCAAAACCGAGTCGAAAACGAATTCATCTTCCAACACAAGAGATCTCTACCCCTAAAATTGAATCTGTTTTTTGTCAATGGTGTTAAAAGTCTTGGTTTAGCTCCACAGTTAGTTCCGCTAAAGCTTATGCCTTGAAACATTTCTACAAACGAAATCAAGAGTTTATCATCACCATCGTAAATTCCAAATCAATCCAAGGAGGTCTAACAATTTGAATATAAATGCTCCTCAAACATTGAATCAATTGGTACTAAATTCGGGATAGAGCGGTATGGACCACATGTTTACAGATAATCCCAGAAACGGGTAATCAATTAAGAACATCCGAATAAGATTCGCATAAATCCAGCTACACACAAACACGACATACATTTGCACTAAATAACTTGCATGTAAAGATACAAACACAAGCATACAAATATTAGGGTTCCCTGTCATTCATTTTACTCTCTTAAGCTAGCAATATTATTTTGTTAACTCCCTTCCCCTCTCTCTTTTTCCTCTGTGTGCGCACGCGTGCGCGTGCGGTGCGTGTGTGTGCTTGGTAGTAAATCATTCACAAACTGCAAATATAAATAACTAAATAAGGGTTTTAAAATGATGTAAATCCTTTTGCAAGTAAATCATTCATCATCTTGAATGAAGTTTAATTTTTGTGTATCACCATTATGATACACAGACAACATGCAGTAACAAGAAAGAGATACTCCCCGACCCAACCCTCACCCATAAACCCAATTTGTTTTCTCCCTCCGTTTTTTGCTTTTTCTCTTTTTCTTATCGTCGTCAACGAAATAAAAGGTTTAGGACATTTTATATTTCATGAACGGATGCAAATTTTAGGACTAACTCACAAACTGAATGAAAAACTCTTTTCTTCCTGGGCAGCACATAGCAGCCATCTTGCCCAACCTGTAGACAATGATATCATTACATGAAGTCCTCTTCCAGTTCCTGCAATGACTTGTTTGCTGATGCAATTTGTTTGTTAGATGTCATATTTTCAGAATTCATCAAACCTTTGTAGCTCCTTAGTTCTAACTGTCTCTCCTTCTCAAGCCTTTCCATCTCCTCGCGTCGTTTCTGCAAAATAGTTTCATTAAAAATTAAATTGTTTTGTTCAACACAAGAATATGATATATAACATTACAACAATGCAAGATACAGCCTAGATGCAATATGAGTTGATCAAAAACAAGTTCTAGTACTCTTAGGGCTGGTTTGGTATTGCTGTGCTTTGAAAAAAAGCTGCTGTGAGAATAAGCGGATGTGCTGTGAGAATAAGCGGCTGTGAAAAAAATCAGCAGAGTGTTTGGTAAACTTTTTTGTAAAAGTGCTTTTGAAAAAAAACAGTCTAATAATGGGTCTTTTCATTAAAGGAGCACTGTAGCTCCGTGTGTTTTGAAAAAAAAACCAGTTTTCCAAAGCTACAAATAGCAGCTTCAGCTTTTGGCTTTGATTTCAGCTTATTCTCACAGCAGCTTCCAAAATAAGCCATTTTTTTTAAGTTTACCAAACACCTAAAACCCTCACAGCTTTTTTTCATGGGTTCTTTTTTTTTAAGCACCTCACTCCCAAACCACCCCTTACTAAGTTCAAGATTCAGTTAACCATTACAAAATCCAAAACCCGTTCAGCTAAGTGCAAGTCAAGAGCAAAAATATTGGCCAAGACAGGAGGTGGAACTTACCTTGTCCCTCAGGAACTGCTTTCTCTCAGCTCTTTCTGCTGCATTAACCGCTTCTCGCTCAGCTGCAGTTACATTTTATTTGCACGTTAGCTATCACTCCATTGCACCAGAAATAGATAAGGATAGCATTTGAAGTCCACTATCACTTACTATATCCATAAATACAAAAGATACATAAGAAATAGTAGACCAAGTGTCAACTTTCCTCCATAAAGAGCAATATGAGTACTGCTTTTCAAGATTAGATTTTTAGAGCCATATTGTAGACAAACTAAAATGAAGCTGAGACTAAAACTTTACCTTTCAAATCAGGCTTCCTTTCCACTTTTGTCCTGTTCAATCTATTAACTACCTCGTTGATCCGTTTCTCCACTCTCACAGTTCGAACCTTAACAAAGTGTCAAAGTTAGACAATGATCAGTATCTCCGTACATGCTGAACCCAATGAAAATACAAACTACATGGCATGGCTTGATTCCGCAAAATAATATGTATATATTGTAGAACCTCACCATCTTTGAATTGTAGAAACCAACTTGACCAACATCCATGGAGGCAGTTTTCTTCAAATTGGACCAGGGAGTGTAAACAACATCAACATTGTTCACCTTGTTGCCTGCAAAATAATACATCATTAGAACACGGCACCACTGCAGTATCCTAAATAAGACCAGAAATATGAAACCCTTTTAAGAGACGTAGATGAAATTAAAAAGTGGAACCAAATTACTCTAAACATAAGAATCTGTTTAGATAATGCCTTGGATGGAATTTGCTTTGACAAGTTGAGCGCAATCCTCCAGTAATCCTTCACTTATATTGTCAATGGTCTGTCCTTTGTGCAATCTAACATAAACATGGGCAGACGACATTTTATCCACGTGGAACCTGTAACGTGAAAATCCCATCAGGAAAATCTTTAAGCTTGCATAGCACAAATTTCCTACTAATAACAAGTCTTTTCTTTCATTGTTGTTGAGTTACTAATAACAAGTCCAGACAATCAAAAGCAGAATAATGTGCAAGCATGGTCCAAACTAAACAAGCAATTACTCGAAAACGGCTAAACGTGCATTTCTTAAACATTAACAATTACATGGCAGTACGAAAAAAAAAAATAATTCATCCTTATATGTAAGTGCCTCAACAACATAACAAGCAGCCGCATTCAAAGTGCTTATGCAGTTAAGGAAACACGGAATCACAAAGCTGAAACAACGTGAAAGAGGATCAATTCAGTCGTTAAGCTGCTCGGTATCAATTGGCAAGCGATCAAAGATTACATGATCGGTCAACGATTACGTGATCGGTCAACGGTTACGTGAGCTGCACAAACAATCTCAATCATCGCCACCCCTCCCCCCCTCCTGGTAGAAGGAACCGATATACTATTTATACCGGAATGAACGATCATCTTGATTCTGTCACTGATTACATTAAGCAAGCTCCAAACATTCAAGCTACATAATCTGCTTCTTCATTTGTGAGGAAATTGAACCCCCCCCCCCAATCTAATCCCCAAATTCGAGTTAATTCTTGATTCTTGACCAGAAAATTCCAAAACTTGACAAGAAATGTAATTGCAAATTTTTTATCTTTCTAATGAAAAGTTGGGACAAATTGCGAATTGGATTGATAATCCGAAAAATTGGTGACAAAGAATTGGGGGAGGGAGTTACCAAATGTCTTCGGGGAAGCCATATTTGATGAGCTCCTCGTTCTCGAACTTGTCGAGGCCCATGAAAATGGTGAAATCGCCGACGTCCGATCGAGCTTTGAAGTAGAACACCATGTTTCGCCCTTTGGAATTCGATCGCCGCAGAAGAAAGCGATAAACTTTGAGGACGAGCTAGGGCTTCCGAGTTCCACCTTCCACCTTTCCAATTGGAAATTTTGGCCACTGGAACATCTTTTTATTTTTTTTGTTTTAATTTTTGTTTTTCAGGTTTGGGCCTGGGTTTGAAAATTTGGCAAAAAGTGGCAATTTCCACGACGTTTGACGACGTGTCGCTTGGACTAATAGGGAATCGAACCAAATCCTTTTTGACTTCAACGTACTGAGAGATTTTTAGTGTGTCCAAAATCTAAGACGGTGCATCTTATGTTAACATATAAATAGAGATTTTTTTTTTTTTTAAATGCTCCTCCATTTGTATTATGATATATAACATATGTGCTTGTATTTTAGGTACACTGAAAAGTCTCCCTCAATCACTGTTCTAAAAATCCCCATCTAGCGCCGTCTAGGCCCCAGCCCACCGGCCCGATTAATGCCTAGGCCCCAGCCCAACGCCTAGACCACCTAGGCACCTGCCTAGACCTGCCTAGGTTGCAACTCACTTAGACAGAAAATACATAACTTTCATTTTGCATTTTGTTTTTTTTCTTCAATAAATTGTAAGAGACTTGTTGCATACTTGAATGAACAAACATTATATCCTTATTTCACATGTTTTCATTATGTTCCAATACTTCATGATATATATGCATTCTATTTTGTAGTTTATGATGAAATTATATATATATTTCAAGTAGAAGCAAACACTTATTTACATGAAATATGATAGATTTACTTAAATCCGCCTAGTCCGCCTAAGCGCTAGGCACCAGCCCGCCACCCGACTAGCGCCTAGCGACTTTTAGAACCTTGCCCTCAATCAATTTTGGGGGATCTCGGATCAGATCTCTTGTGTAGAGATAAAAAAAAAAATTTAATATATGCAATGATATTTTACGCTAAAAATGTGAGGATTAATTGAACCACATTATGTATAAGCATCAAGCAATTTTGGGGGATCTCGGATCGGATCTCTAGTGTAGAGATAATTTTTTTTATATATATATATATATGCAATGATATTTTATGCTAAAAAGGTGCGGATTAATTGAACCACATTATATATCAGCATAAAATATTGGTATCGAAGTTGTCATGCACAGAAATAAGATGGAATTTAGGTTACAAGCTCCCTGAGCTACAAGGTGACCTGTAATTGACATAACTTTTGAGGTTCAATTCAAGAATCCCTCGCGAGTCATACATTCGGAGGCAGATTGTTTGCCCTTCTCATCCCTTCCTATTTTGTGCGGTCAGGTTAATCCACGTCAACATTTTATATTATTGTTTTATAGATATAATAAAACAAAAAGCAATAAATATTAACATGACTTAACCGTGACATTACAAATAAAAAGAGATAAAAAGAGCATCCAAACAGGAGGGCAGACAATCTGCCTCCCATACATCCCCAACTTGCAGTTTCGTAATTAATTTGGCAGACCTTGCAAGTTTGGCAGTTTTGTTGTATTGAAAGAAAGTCGCAAAATTAAATTGGCTTATTTTGCAATATATAATTGTGAAAATTCTAGACTACATCTAACCGTCAGATGGTGGTATTACTAAGTATGAAGGAATTAGTTTAGAAATGTTTTTAAAATGATTAAAATCATTTTTGGTGAAAATGTTTTTTAAACAAATCTTTAGTAAAAAACGCAAGTGAATCCTGAAGCACTCGAATCCAAAAACATGTTCTCTAAAAGCGATTTCAATCATTTTAAAAGCATTTCTAAATGAACTCATAAGTGTTGTAGCCAAATCCCAAAGGAGTATGACATACATAGTTGAATTTAATGACTGGATATGTGAGAATGACTAGTGAAAATCAAGCACCCTTGTGGCCAACCACTCCTCTCCCCCTCATTTTTTCAAACCCCACCTTAACTATTGGAAGAAAAAAAAAAACTACAAAAAAAAAACAAACAAACAACCCAGTTAGATATGCGATAAAGAACTCAAAAAAAATTAGATGATAAATCTAAGTCGCTTAAAACGTAGTGTTGTATAATCAGGGTATAAAATATCGATGATATTGGAAATATCAGTAGTTCAAAAATACGGAAATTTCGATGGAAATATCGAGATATTATCGATATCGATAAAAATTGAATAAAAGTCACGGAAATTGTAAGAAAAACTTGGAAATTTTTATTGAAACTTTACAGGATGTTTATTTAGTCAATTATCTATTAATTTATCACAAAAAATTGGAAGGAAATGCATTGCATGATAAATATAACTGATTTAAGTTGATTATATAGTGAGCTGACAAACATTGTGAGTGTAGAAAATATGTAGTAATTAATGAAAGAAGTTTAAACACACCATAATCATTTATATATAATGAATTAGTACAATATTTTACACTTTATACATTGCATGATAAGATACATGAGTGACTTAGCAAGGTTTAAAATATCGATGATATCGGAAATATCGGTAGTCCAAAAACATGGAAATTTCGATGGAAATATCGGAATATTATGGATATTTTAGACCATGCGTATAATAATATGCGTCGATGTATAGTAGAAGAGCTTTGATAGCAAATTACAAATTCATAACATTGAAACGTTCAATTTACGCAACTAAAATGATTATATGACGTTTCTCTTGAGTTAGGATATATGATTAATTAATCAATCATATACCCTTGGAGTGTAATATTAGTTCTTATCACTCTGATTGGCTGCTGACAAGGATGAAGTGTTATGATCTTATCCCAAGCTGTCCAAAAAAGGCTGCGTATTAATCTATCTTATTGGCAACTACGTACGCGCAAAAGATTCCATCAGAAGCAAGAATCTCGTAACTCAAGTAATTAAGAGCAACACAGTTGTGTATGTGTTCGAGGTTTTGTGTTGATTCCTTCCTCTGCAATACCGGTTGTATAAAAATGAAAAGATTCTCACCCAAAGCAAGAATCTTGTGGCTCAAGTGAACTAAGAGCAGGCCGTTGTGTATGTACTCGAGGTTGGTTTGATTCCTCACTCCGCAATACCGGTTGTATAGAGATAAAAAAGATTCTCACCATAAACAATAACCTTGTAGCTCAAATAAACTACCAGCAGGCAATTGTCTATGTATTCGAGGTTCTGTGTTCAAAGGTTTAACTTCTTCCTCCCCAATGTCGGTTGTATAAAAATTAAAAAAAAAAAACTATCTAACAAAGTAGAGAAAAGTAGTAACTAGCTCACACATTACTGACCCACAATTTTAGGGCAAAACACAAATTTGACCTAGTAAGTACAAAAACTTTGACAAAAAACAGAACCTAGTAGTAGCAGAACACAGTACAGAGTTCATCTATGAGAACCCTAGCAATTTTTTCCCCTTTAAAAGAAGACATTTTATACATCATACTTGCAAAGGTTTTCGAAACCCATGTATTCGTTCCGGTTAATCTTCCCGATCATGTTCGATATCCCAACTCCACCTGAAAAAACAAAAACAAAAGAGAACAAATACCTCTGAGAATTCAGGGTGTTAACTCAACTTGAAGTGAAGTTTGTCGACGAAAAAAAACTCACCTAGTGAGATTGCACTGACAAATATGGTGAAGGCTAGAATGAATATGATCAGAGATGCCCTTCCGAATAGTATAATCAGCCTTCTCACAATGTGCTGTCCTACCAACGCTGCAACAGTGGCAACCGCGGTCAAGTAGACAGCTGCAGAAAGATTGGAATGTATGTGCGTTAATATACAAATTTAGACGAACTGTGAACTACTAGCTCCATCTGTCTACAACTGGATAAAGAATGACAATTTTGTAGCGAACTATCCTTGGCGTTGCTTTGATAAAACTTACCGTAAGGAACTGGAAAACGTTTTAGAAGGTAGTATTCTACAACGGACATGGATGACGAGAATGTCATTGCAAATGTGGCTGTGGCACTGGAGACCTGCAACGTAATCACCAAGAAGTTTTAGAACAAACTAAACCGTTGATGATGGCTTTTTATTTTGTTTAGTAACTCTCGGTTAAAAAGATTCTGTGTCATTATTCAAGATCATGTTCATGTCAAGGAAAATCACAAAACTCACCTGCGGGGGGATTCCAAGCTCCAAAAACAGCGGTCCCATGATAAATCCTCCACCTAATCCAAGCAACCCACCTACGATTCCTGCAATTACACCAAAGAGACAGTAGATAACCAGCTGGTGCACTTTCCAATCTGTCCCTTCCTCTCCCTTAGATGCTATTACTCTCCGTCCCTGGTAAAGGCTCACTGCCTCGTACATAGATACACCAAGGGAAACTGGGATCTGCAGAACATGGAAACAGTGACTCGTTCCTGACCGTTCAGGTATTGAATTTTTACAGGTAACATGCGGAGAAACAAATACATTCACACCATAGTACCTGTAACAAATTCACTACCCAATATGCTGGAGAACAAGTAGTTGTGCGTTGCTGTGGAAAAGTCAGATGGTTATCACCCGTTAGCTCCACAATGTCGTATAATCAAAGGAATTTGCAATAAAAAATTTCTGATAGACTAGGTAAAGAGATGGAAACCTTGGCAATTTGCAGTGCAAGAAATGCAACCCAGACGAAAACCAGAAGTCCAAGCTCCTTCCAGCAAACATTCTCAATAACCGAGACCTGAAATGGTCATCAAGATTTAGCTTCGAAACTCCATCAAAATTATAACAGTGTCTGTGCAAGTACTGTGCGTGCACTCACCTCCTGCTCCTTGGTTTCCTTTTGCTGCTCATTCGCTGAGCCGCTTGGGAGAGGCTTGTATGCCACATTCTCACCAGCAGCTGACCAAACAAGAAAATATATGGCGTAATTGTAGGAATCAACTACAAGTAAAAAATTCTAATGTTTTATAGAACATTTGAGCAACAGTAGAACAAACTCACCAGCTGACTCCAAATGCCTAGCGGCCTCCTAAAATCCAGAAAAAAAGCAACGGTTAGCAAAACATTTAGTGGTGCAATATATGCATTTCAGAACAACTTAAAACCCTAAATTTAAATTGAAGCCTTGTTGATTGGCATATATAACTATGGAGGTAGATAATGCGTACTAAGGTGACATGATATATCGTGATCTTTGAATTATCACAATAACAGTCAGAAAT